CAGGCAAGCAAATTTGCTGTCATAAGAGACATGTTACATTCTGCAGTTAAGCTTGAGTTGTATATTATCATTCTTTTTCAGTATTTGAGACATTTCAAACCTAAGTCCACAAAGGTAAACTCTTCTCAACTTCCTCATGAGAACAGAAATAGATGTGACTGGCATTCGCCATCCTCTGAAGATTCCTTGTCAGTTTTCCAAATAACATTTTGGTGGATTTTATTGTAAAACTTCTACTATCTTTCTTACCAGCTCAATATTGTCACTGCCTAGTTCCTACCAAAATCCTAAAGAAAGAAATGCCTCACTTTGCTTGTCATTCTGCCTGATGGAACACACTGATCAAGCAGTCATGTGAAGGACAGAGTTCAGCCTTGGGGCCTGAGCATGTGCAGATTTTCCTAAGAGGCTTACTTTCCAGTCACTGGCTGCCAGTTTACATCAGATTTCCTGTTTGTGAGGAGAGAAGTTCAGTCCTTGTTAGTCCCTGACTGTGTTTTTTGAAGCATAGTAAACACTTAGAGCCAGTAATTAATCAAGAGCCGGTACCCTTTTGCTGGGGAGAACAACATCTTTAGACTACATTTTTAAATTTAAAGGAAAATGAGAAAGAGGGAAGGAAGGAAGAAAGAAAGGAGGGAAGGAAAGAAGGAAGGACACACAACTGAGTACAACATGTCTAAATCATGAAACTAGTGAGTACAAGTTCCTTTGATGAACTTATTTGCCACTAAGATAAAGAGAAGTATGTAAATTAGGAAAAATCTTCTCAGGCCTTGTCAATTTTTAGGACATGAGTAAACCATGTTCTCAGTAGGCTAATTAACTCCTGATTAATAGTCACTGAAGGGCCATTGCAAATGTCAAGTATTTTCTGCCTCCACTTGGGGGGTCTCAATAAAGCAAGACAAAACAAAACACAAAACACTTCCCTAGGGGCTCCTTCTGATGACCTTTTATAAAACTTGCAAGTCTGAAATTTGATGACTAGTGAAGAACCGCTGTTATTTGACAGAACTATCTAGTAGGAAACTGAAATTCTAGAAATTACTGTATCCAAATGCTGAACTTTTCATTTACTTATTCATTTATTTATAATTTTAGACAAGGGCTTTTGTTGTCCAGAGGCTCTCTTCAAATTGACTATGTAGTTGAAGCTTGCCTGCAACTCCTGATCCCTTTACATCCATCTACCTAGTGGTAGGATTATTGGCCAGAGCCACCATACCCAAAATGGACAATTTTTAAAATTTACTTTTGGAATCTCCTAAATATTGATGCGGACAAACTTTCTATGTAAGTGCCCAACAGTTATAGGAAGGCAGAACTAGGCCTGGATCTGGAGAAAGCTGAGGTGAAAGTGGGTTGGGAGATTATTGCTCACCAGTGTCTGACCTTGAAGGAAGGAGGATCCCATACTGGTTGAAAGGCAGTCAGGCCATGCCTAGAACTTTCCAGTAAAAGCTCAAAGGAAAGCAATATGCCTCTTCCACTGAAATATTAGCTTCACCAGCTAAGGATTCCTGACGTTCTTTAACAATCATGTAGAATTAGCAAGGCACAGCTATTAGCTGCTTCATTTAATACCAGGAGGCCCTAGTATTAAATCCATGTGGAAAGAGACAATTGTCATCATGGCAAGAAGCATGGAAGCATGCAAGCAAACATGGTCCTGGAGAAGTAGCTAAGAGTTCTACATCAGGATCTGCAGGCAGCAGGAGCAGTGAGAGCCACTGGGCCCGGCTTGGGTACTTGAAACCTCAAAGCGCAACACCAGTGATACACTTCCCCAAGAAGACCATACCTCCTCCAACAAAATCATACTCTGTAATCTCTTCAAATAGTGCCATTCCCTAAGCATTCAAGTATATGAGGCAATATACAGAGTTCATTCTTATTTAAATACACACAGACACACACACACACACACACACACACTTCTCACTATGTAATCCATACTATGTAATCCATAAGAACCCTATAGGTGACTTATATATATATTTCATTGCACTAGGACCAAAGCATGATTCTTTTTTTATTTATATTTGGAATCACTATATGCTCTGAGAATTTAAGAAAAAAGGTCTGTCAAAATTTCTTCTTATTTAGCAGGTTTTCAATTCAAACTCCTTTTTCTATCTTTTTCTCAACTTTTATTACAAAATACTTACATGTATACAGGTGTGTTTGTGCACATGTATGTGTATGTCTGTGTGCTGGTGGATGCATGTAGGTAGGCATTCACACCGTAGTATGTTTGGAAGTCAGAGGACAGCTGGTGGTGGTCGTGCTTCTCTTTGTCCATCATATGGGTTTCAGAGATCAAACTCTGGTCATTAGGCTTGGTGGCAAGTCCCTTTTATTCTGAATCATCCTCTCAGTCCTTCTCTGCTTCACTTTCTGTATTTTAAAGAAAATCCCCAAGTCTACCTTCAGATTCAGTCCCACACCTGCCCCCTCTCCCTGCCGCTGCCCTGTGCCCCCACACCTGCCCCTTCTCTCTGCCCTGTTCCAAAACACCTGCCCCCTCTCCCTGCCCTGCTTTCCACACCTGCCCCCTCTCCCTGCTGCTGCCCTGCTCCCCCACGCCAGCTTCTTGTTCCTCTGTTTCTGTCCCTGCTCTCCTAGAGGCCTCGGCATTTTTAAGACAACTAAGTTTTTTTTTATTCCAGTTCTGGTCAGTTTGCTCATTCTTTCATAATTTTAATATGTATTCAAATAATTGGATTATGTTTATTGAGATGACTTGGTAAAATCAGAAAAATATTTTAATATATTTCAATATTTTATACATAGACAATATGCCAACTCACAAATATTGTTCAGGAACCATCAGGATTATGATTTCTAATCTTTAACAGATACATAATTTTTGGTTGTTGCATCCTGTCTCCCTTTCCTTCTAGCAAGTATCTAGCTGTTCTAGACAGCTATTTCTAAGCCTAATTTTGGTACCATTTGAAGGAACTAGATGTGACTTTGTTGAAGCAAATGTGACACTGGAGATGGACTTTGAGGTTTCAGAAAGCCCACTCTAAGCCCACAGTCTCTCAATTCCTGAAGGCCTGAAGATTCAGATCCAGAACTCTCAGATGCTTCTCCAGTACCATGGCTGCATGCATGCCAACATGCTGTCTACCATGATGACAATGGACTAAAACTCTGAAACCATAAGCAAGCACCAGTTAAATACTTTCCTTTATAAGTGTTGCTGGAGTCATGGTGTCTCTTCTTAGCAAGAGAACTAAGCCATCTCTTCTTTAATCCTTGGGTACTTGTACATATGCACATACCCACAGAACACACACACACTCACACCCGCTCTCTCTCTCTCTCTCACACACACACACAGTTAAAATGTAAAATAATTTTTTGAAAAGCACAACTCAATCAAAAATCTATTATGGATATTTTTAATGGTAGTGCATGAAAATTGAGGTAATTAAAAACAGTACTCTAACATTTTATACCACACCCACCTCTTTCTTCTCCCAGCCACTATCTTCTCTGCAGTAGAAAATTATTTGCACAATTCTCTGTGACAAGAGTGGCTTTGAGAATACCCGTCCTTATACTGCTATTTGACAACAGAAACCATGTTCATCAGCTTTCTTACCGAGGCACATTCCTCTACAGCCACCAAAATGAAGCAGTGAGAGAATTTAATATTGAGAGAATAGGCAAATATGTTTTTACCAGGACTTTCTGCATTTATATTAAAATGGCAGAACCTCACTCTTGTGCTAGATATCAAAGAAGTGTATATGATAAGCTCCAACAGTAACAGCCTGCTCATTTGGTGGCAGCAAATGGAACCTATTAGAGGATCACTAAAAGGATCATTTAGAGTCTACAACCTAAGAGACCAGATGCCGGCGCATAGTTGAAGGATGCTTGCAGCCTCAGCTGTGGGATGCACACAGGCTCCTAGGGAGGGTGTGAGATACCAGTCAATAGCAGCTTGGTATGAAACACTCAGTGTGATATGAAAATGCACAGTTCCCTTTGTGTTTATATAGAAGTACCCACAGTCACAGATCACAGGAGTACTCTGTGTGTGCCCAAAGGAGAAAATATACAGTCACTTGAACCTGTGCTCCTACTGGGCATTCTATATTCTTATCTGTATACTCAAAAGGTTCCCTTCTGACCAAGACATTCCTATATTTGAGGTTATAAGCATGTCCTTCTCTTCACCCATACCATTTGGACATTCTGGAAGGCAACTGACCCCACTAGCCCCCGTTTTCTAAATTTGATATTCTAGAAAACAGTTTATTACCACTCTGTCTCCAAATCACGTAGGACTACATGTTCAGTACACTCCAAGGACCAGTGCTCTCATGTTTTAAATGCAGGCTTAGGGAACCCCACTAGTTTCTTAGCTGTGAGTAGCTGGTATTTGCACACTGACCCAGGGGCAATGTAGAAGGCCTTAGTTTTCCCAGGAAGACCACTAAAAAGAATAATTGGCATCAATAACACTTACCTGAACATTCAGAAGGAAGGTTACTGAGCCATCAGGAACCCAATCACATAGCCACACTTCAAACAAGACAGTGCTTAGAATTTATGCAAATAAAGCCTGGGGTTAGTAGCTCTTCCATCTAGGTCTTCTCTATCCACTCAATAAATTTAGCTGTGCACTCATAGCTAGATCCAATCAGCCATGCAGTTATACTGCAGGTATATTGTGCAGAAGTTGTTGAGAACATACACATCATTCACTTCTCAAAAAGTTGGGAATGTGGCCTCCAGGGAATGTATAACAACTGTGTCTCTCTAAACAGCCATAAGGCTACTACAGAGTGCAAGATCCATTGCAAAACTTGTGATTGTCTTAACGGTTGTGGAAAATGAAAGGAACAATTATCATCACATAGATAGATGGATTCCAGTGTGAGTCAATGTAGTGGGTACATACTTAAACATACATGGGGTTGACAAAGAAGGGAACCCCCAAACAATGAGAAGGACAACAACAAAGATCATTGCTTAACCTGTTTTGTCAAAGCTGGTGGTCATGGTATTGGTAGTGATGGAGGTGAAGGTAGTCTTTGCGCTGTCCTTGGCAGTGACAGATTTCTGCTTATTTTTCATGGCTTCCAGTGCTTTGAGCTTCTTGGCATGTTTCGTGCCTTTGTAGTGGGCCGCAGCCTGGCTCTACAAAGGAGAACACAATGAACCATGCAATCAGGCTCATTTCTAAACTGGCATTCTCTGTATTACTGCAAATACAGACTGTCTTTCAATAACAGGTACCATTCAAGATATTGCAGGCCAGGGCTGACTTAGAATGATGCGTAGAAAGCAATGGGAATTGAATACTAAGAGGCAGAAGGAAGAAATATCCAGTTGTTTTTCATATGAAGGTGGATATTAGCACATCAGCATTTTCTTTTTGGAGTGTGGGTGTGTAAGAATTTTCACCTGCATTGCCTTTGTTCTTCCCGCAGAGATACTGGGCTCCCAAGAACTAACAAGGACTCTAACAGAGTCATTCTCTCCTTCTCTTTTCATAAAACATGTTTTCTCTTACTGCAATGTGACTGATGGCCACTCACTGGGTTTACAAGAAGGAGCCACATAATCGAGCATGTGTGCAGTCAGGAGGCTGAACTTGAAAACTCAAAAGCAAACACAGGACTGAAGTCCAAATGGGCCATGGAGAAGCAGGGGAATTTCCTGATTCTTTCTTTCCTTTTGCTTCCTATCAGGGCCTCCTGAGAGAGTACAAAGTGATGTTTCTCTCCAGCGTGATACTCACGATAAGGAGGCTCTGTGGCTCTTAAATGTCTAATGTGATCTACGCAGTTCTTCCACCTGTGGTTTCTGAGATTCCTTCTTAGAGCCAATATGTATTTCTGAAGGCTGCTATTTATCATATGGGACATTTGCTGAGACACTGCCATTTCCTTAGCTTAGGACAGTTTGAAACTTGAGACTTTTCTGCTTCTCTCTCCCCAGTGCTGGCATATTTTCTTTTAAGAAGTTTCAAGAAGGCCGAGCATTGGTGGTGCATTCCTTTAATCCCAGCACTCAGGAGGTAGAGGCAGGTGGATATCTGTGAATTTGAGCCTGGTCTACAGAGTGAGTGCCAGGACAGGCTCCAAAGCTACACAGAGAAGCCTTGTCAAAAAACAAAACAAAAAAAGTTTCAAGAGATACATTAATTAAAACAGAGTTATCAGCTATGAAATAATTATTAATGTTCGGTGAGAAGATAGAACTCTTTGCTGGAATGGTACATGGATAAACAAGGGGATTATCAAATCCCAAAGTTATGCAGGATAAAACTTTATAGGGTTATTTTTTAAAATTCTAATTGAAGGACTATTTCTTTTGACTTACCCATTACTTCCCATTGCACATTCAAGCTAAACGCTCCATTTTACTAGTAAAATAGACAACAATTTCATCATATCAACTAGAGCAAGCAGGATCATTCATTTTAATATATTTTAACAAATAAACAAATATTCTACACCTTTATTTGCATCATTCTGAAAAGATGTTATCAAAGGCCTAGGTACCTTTATTGAAAGAACACTGGATAAGGAAATTGCATATTAGGAACAGTTTGAACAGGGAGCACACTCATGCACCACATATACATTTCCAACAACACAAAACACTAGGAGACATAGTGTAAGCCCAACAGGAAGTTCAAACATGCTGCAACTAACTGAGACTCAGTGACAGGTTGCATTGCCCTCATCCTAAGGGGAAAACCACTCTGACAGAAGACTGTGTTTTGGTCTTCTTGCCTGGCTCTACTTTTCAATTCACTGGCTTGTGCTGCAATAGTCTAAATTTACATGGGAGCTGGATGTGTTCTTCAGATCACTGTTGCACAATGCCCCTTAAAACGAAGTACTTCCCCCTGGTAATTGACAGGAATGATTTTTATAATACATATTAAAAGGCTGACTTTTAATCAACAAGGCTGCTATCTTCACTTATGTTTTCAAAATGCACCTATGTTTCAAATGTTGAGACAAGTACATTCTGCAGGCCAGGCTGACCTTGACCTCACACTTGGGTTGTTCTTGCTTCAGTCTTTTCAGTGTTACAGGTGAGTCACAGACATCATGCTCAGCTTCAAAACTGTACATATTAACAAATGCTGGAAAAATACACATTTTCAGCAGATTAGAAGAGATTTTCCGTAATGTAGCTTACTCTGGGAGAATGTCTTTCCTTTTGAAATGAAGACCCTTACTACAAAAGAATCCTACAACAGAATGAGCACAGTCCACAAAGAAAATAGAACTTTTCTCTGCACAGGAGCAGAGGCCTGAGGTTCTCTGGTGACTTAGGAAGGCTCAGGATGAGAGTGACAGGACGAACAGGACTTGGTAGGTTCTTGATTGGCACATCTCATATGCTGAGATTGAAAACGTAACAATTAAGATTCATACTCACACTCATGTCCATCAAGTAATAGCCTTGAAGGACCATGTCAGTCACTTTGGTTACAGATTACCTAGGTTTTTCCCACTAGGCAATTAAGGCTTGTCTAAATCGGGAAAAAGGGGTCAGATGGCGGAAAGGTGTGAAGCGCTGTGGGGATGTGTCAAATTTGAGAGAAATGAATAACAGTGGTGGACACCAGCAGAGGAGGCTAACTGACCGTGGTTGGGTGTCCGCAAGTGTATGCTTGTAGTGGCAGGGCAGTTTTGAAAATGAGTATAGATTCATAACCATCCTAGCTATTTTGAATCTTATTCAACTGAGTATTCATGGAGTTTGGGAACAATCCTTGGAGCATTCTGGTGTAATAAATTCTAATCTATGCCTAGTGACCCTAATTGCTTCGTTTGCCTTAACTCATGGGTGTGATAGTTTATGTGAAGGTTTGCACATCTAACCAGCTTGCCTTACACTGAGGCCATGTGACTGACTGCAGAGGTGATTCAGCCATATCTCTCTATCTGTGTCACTGCACACAAGGCTGAAGGCTGAGACGCAGTGTGTCTGGGGAATTTTCAAATGCATCCCTTGGCAAAGACCTCGTCTGCTTCTCTTTGGGGCAGAGAGATGCAAGTCCATCTTGTTATACACCAACGTACTCTGTTCCCTATGAGGCTACTTAGGATAGTAATCAGTTAGTTTCTGAATTAACTCATTCCCAGAAACATGAGAAGCCTGAAGAGACAAGCAAATGTCCATTTTTAAACACAAATGATGTCATCATCAAATCAGCAAGTATGCTTATTGAGGTTACTCCCAGGATTCTGTACTTCATAACTAAACAGAATCATATGCACAGAAGCCAATATAGCAGGACAGTGCTGTAACAGCTGCCTTTAAAAGAAGTGAAATGTGAGACCATGGTGTCACAGGAATCACTGCATGGATGTGAATCTTCAGCTGGCATGTGGCATCAAAGAGCTTAACAGGTGTCATCCCAGAGGCATGCCCTGCATAACAGGATGATACCATTCTAAATGTTGCCTCCACACCCAGCTTCTCAGTGCTATGATAGATTTCCTCATCTTCAGGTTTTGTCATGCATATTTCAAGCTGTCTTTTAACCTGGGCAGACTTCAGCTTCCAAAGTGGCTACCATTAACTTGCAAGTGACTAACACTTGAGAGGAGAGTTGTTTACAAAGACATAGAGCAGCAGTTTACTGACATAACCAAGAAGCATCATCTGCATCCTTAACATCCTGGGAGATTTTTTAAGGCATGCTGTGTTATGCTTCTACTACCAGTTTCTTATAAATTTGTGCTTTGTACACTTTTATTTGGTGTGCTTTATTGAGGGTTCTTTATGTAAACATGTGCACTTGGCTACCACAAACAATCAGTGTTTAGGGGCTCATCTGGTCTTAGTTTGTGATATCATAAACTTTCATACTCCTTAGTCCTGGTAAGGAATTGGAAAAGTGCACATTCTCAGTGTCCATTCTAGGCTTCTGGGATCAGAAGCTATACAGAGATAATGCGGTTATACAGATCACCAGATAGTCAAAATCTTGGTGGCCACTGAGGATGGACACCCCTTTCATAATCAGAACCTTGTAAAATAAGGAACTGAAACAGCAGACCTAGGGACTCCTCCAAAGAATGCGATCTGAGCCGACCTCTGGCTCTGGGTGGGAACATGACCTTCTGAACTGTCCAGAAGGTCATAAGATTATTATTGTCTAGTGCAGACGTTCTGGAAAAGAACAAAAACATACTATTGGATTCTCCAAAGGGACTGTTTATTACTTGAACAAGGAAACACCCCTCAGAGAAGCTGGGCATTCAGGGAACAGAAAGCCTAGCTGAATGAACATGTGGATTAACATAGTGGTGCTCCTGTCTACTCCCAGCTGAGAGACTGTTCTCTGCAATGGCCCCTTACTGAACTCCTATGGTCTACACATCTCTCTGTATTGCATCTGCATTTATTCAACAGTTGGGGATGGAGAAGTGGTTCTTGCAGAAGATCTAGGATGGGTTCCCACAACAGGATGCTCACAATTGCTGGTAACCTCGATTCCAGGGGATCTGACATTCTGACATCCTCTTTTGCAGTTTTTAGGCACTTGCATACATGTGAAGTACTCATAGAAATCACACACACACACACACACACACACACACACATGCACACACACATACACACACGTGCACACAAACTAAAATTTGAATTTATTCAACAGCAAAACAGAACATCAGGACCTGAGAGCAGAAGGAATGCCAGGGTAAGATCCTGGATTTGACTGTAGAATAAGCCTTTTGAGTAATTCTGATTCATACTAACATTTTTGAGCTGCTCATCTTAGTAATTTTCTCCAGGAACTCATTCCTGCAAAAGTACCTGCTGGGGTGCAAAGCTGAAAATTCAAACAATGGTGCTTTGACTTTTTCCCCTCCTTCTGCCCACAGTACAGGGATGAGCTTGCTCTTAGTTCCTGATATTTGACTAAAGTGTTCTCACAATATTCTTACAGTGAAACACTCCCTTCCCCTATCCTCCCTCCCTCACTCTTTCAAGGGAGAATGAATGCTATTGACACCTGCCTCACCCAGGAAGGTTTTGACCTCTGATCTATTCTGAGAGTTTAGGCTGATAAATGACCTGAGAAATGAAACAGCTTTCTGTTTTCCCTGTATTCTACCACCTTGTCATACCATAACTCATCACCACCACTTCCCCAAACCTGA